GTGTGGTTCGATTTACATCATCTCCATTATATTTTGTTTCACCTTTATTAAGTTTGCAGATTTCCTTCTATGTTTTTTTCCCCGAAATGTTACTTTCAATAATCTTTATGGAAACATTGACTGATTTATAAAACGTGTAAAAAATGGATATTAATCCTAAAGATGATCAATTGTTCTTGATGCCAAGAAATATTGAACATTGTCTTTTCTAGCAGATTCAAATCATGTGTTATTTATTTTATACCTTTGGTCTTTAATTAGATGCCTTTGTTTTGTAATATTCAATGTAACTATCACTGAGGCCACTTATAGATTATTCTATTCATATTTATACTTTATTAAATTTTTGTGAATATCGCTATGTTCGCTTATATTTGTAGGTTAAAAATGCGTACATCAGATAATATTTTCAACTTAACACTCATCTTGTTATCTTCAAATTTAAAATTACAATTAAAACTGATATAGAACATGACATGTCGTCGGCATGGGGGGAGTTTTCAATTACAATTTTGTTGTCTACAATGATAAAGACATTAAAAAAAATTACTATTTTTGTTGTTTACTTAGATTTGAAATGTAATGTGATCTTCGAGATTATAATCTATTTTGTCCACTGCATCGAATGTGAAATCATCTTTTTATTATGAAATAAATCCATATTTAGCAAACAGTTTCAAAACTCTAACATTGAATTTGGAATATCTACTTTTATAATTTGTAGGCTTAGTTCGTTGTATTGATAAATCAATTTGATCCAATTCTCAGTCTAAATTTTAGTTATTACCAATCAAATATTCAGAATTTAGTATTTGATCAAATTCCAAATTGAATTTTAATACATGACAAAAAGTGACTAAAACTTGGAAGGAAAAATATTAAGGTACCAAAAATTTTACTTTTCTGTATTATATGGAAGACTAACAAAAACCTCAAAAGATAGTATGTTTTACTTGAAAAAGTGATAAACTTTATCTAAAAAGCAAAGACAATCTTTTTAACCTTTAGGAGTGGTCCAGTAGTCAAGTTTTTCATTTTGCAAGCAAGAAGTCTTAAATCTAATATTTCTTACATTCTCTAAGGGTCAGTCACCCTCATTTTTGAAAAGATATGTTCTTAAATACCGAACTCAGAACTCGAACAAACAGCGGCACACACATTAAAAAAAAAAAAGAAAANTTAAGAATATTTAGAGTCTTTTGCAATAATATTGATAATGAACTAGAGACCCAGAGAGAAATCATAAGCCAAACTTGACAAGGAGAAGGTTGAACCCAGGTGCTACACTACAATTGGCGTCACTTGGGATAGCACGACTCAGGCAGACACTCTACCCGTTCGCGTGTGTGGTTCGATTTACATCATCTCCATTATATTTTGTTTCACCTTTATTAAGTTTGCAGATTTCCTTCTATGTTTTTTTCCCCGAAATGTTACTTTCANAGGAGGCTTCTTTTTCTTTTGATTGGCTACTCTTTTTTTACTCCCCTATTGTTTTATTTCTTTTTTTTTTTGGTGTCCTCATTTGTCACTCTCACAGTCCCACTCACACCATGTTGACTTAAATGTTATAAACATTGCTTCTAGACGCAATGTGCAAAACGAGTAACGGTCAAGTCAGCCTAGCACAAAAATAAAAAAAGTCAACAAAATTTGGGTCAATCCTAGTAATGGTGAGGGGACATTTTCCACAATTAATGTGGGGAAAATTAGACCCTAACATTGTCCATAAGTTATGACCAAAAAAAGTAAAAAATAAATAAATAAATATTTTTTTACCCAAAAGTTGAGGAAATAATTAATGACCTATATTTCCTCCAACATGCTTTTCTCAATTTTTATCGGTGATAAATTTTACGATAAAAAGTAATAATAAGAGATACACTAAAATTACTGATGAGTAATCTTTTATTGAAAAAAATTGAAAAAAAATGTACCAACAAAATGTCATTTCTACCGTAAAAAACTACGTAATTCTTTAAATTATGCGCAATACACGTTTATGAAGATTCATTGCACGTTCGTGGGGTTGATCTGTTGTTGAGAACAATTGGGAAAAAATGTATTGGGTGAGATTCAAATCCCATTTGTAGTACAAGAATCCAAAGTTTGTTTGTCCCCAGGAAAAAAGATGGGCTAAAACCCAAAAGAAAAGATGATTTTCTTCCTACTTGTAAACTATTCATGATGATGGAAGGATTCAGCTCTGGTCTGGCAAAAAAGTATTCATGAGACTGAATGAATTATTCAAAAAAAACAATGAATTTTGCAAAATGAGTTAAAAGATATTAGAATCAAGGACAAATCTCTGTCTATTAAAATATCATTTACTTCAAAAGTTTAAATCATTAGAGAGATGTAATTAAAATCAAGGGCGGAGCCAATATATTATCTTAGAGGTGGCAAAACATGAATGAAAAAAAAAATTAATTGATATTAAAAAATTTCCCAAACCTTTATTGATAAGAATTAAATTGATGATATTTTCATATAAAGAAATTCATTGGATAAAATTGTGCTTCTTAAATTTATTTACCAAATATTTAATTTCAAATTATATGTCAAAATCTTATGTATTGAATGATTGGTGGAAGTTAGTAGAATCCACTGATCCAATTTCTTACACTTATTTGAGATACAAAATTTAGTAAATAATTTGGTAAGCATAATATTACTCAAATTCATTAATTCAAGTATGAGAGATAGTTTAAGGTTTGTGATTGTGAAAATTAAAACCAATATAATTCAACATTAATAAAATATGAATAAAAAAATATAAATATTTTTCAATCGATATATTTCATCTCAATCATATATTAAAATA